CCCAGGGCGGGAGGGCAGTCCCTGGTTCCCAAGGCCTCGTAGCTCAGCCGGGGGTCAGAATGTGGCGGTTCCAGCCCTTGGCGAGGCACTGGGCTGCCCGGCCTTTCCAGGTCACCACAGTCATTTCCGAGAGCAGGGTGGAAAGCCCTGTGGAGGCGCTTACTTCCCTCCCCGGCGTGCTCTGGAAGCAGTCCTGGAGAGGAAGAACTGGGGCCTGTGTTTTACCCCCTTATAAATGGCATCAACCTTATGAAGCGCCATCTCACACTGTAAATAATGCCTGTGCTGGCCTCCCCTTGCAGGCTGCCCTTCCCAGTGCCCATGGCCCTTCCCATTCCCCCCTGGGGTGCGGCATGCTGGTTCCAAAGGAGCTGCTGCTATCCATTCATGTTCTGTGAGGATTTCATGAAATCATGGGCTTTGGCAAGAGGCAGACCTTAGAAGTCAGGGATGTCTGTAACACTGGTTCGCAGTGGAGTCCCGGATCGGCATCACCTGGAAGGAAAGGTGCTTCTAGTGAAGATGGCAGGCCTGCCAGCTGCACCAGGCCGGGGCCCCAGGGGCTCCTGCTGCGGCTCACTGAGGACTAGCGATTGTGGATACAAGTCAGGCCTGGCGCACAGCAGCCCTCGGAAGCAGGCACAGTGCCACCTTCTCCTGCCCACTCGGACATAGATAACATCGGGAGAGGCCACTCCCCGCAGAAGGACAACATGCTTGACGAAGAGGAAGGACCCTCAACAAGACAGTTTGACACTGTGACCAGGGGCTCAGACACAGCCGGGACAGTGAGGGTGGCACAGGCAGGAGCGGCCACGCTCAGTTCTGGGACTTGAGGTCACTGTGAGTCAGAAGCAATGCAGAGGCTTCTAACGACCATAAAAGACGCAAGACACAGACGAGGTCAGGTCATTTCCTAGCTGCTGGCCTTGAGCGTGTCACATTAGCATCTTAGCCTCAGCATTACCATCATAAAGTGGGGTTAGTCAGAGCCTTACTTAAGGGGTTATTATGAGAACGGATGTGAAAGCACGTGGTTAGCACTCGGCAGTGTGTGCCCCATGCGCCGTAAACATTTATCATTACTACTGCTTTTAGCTATCTTCCTAGACCAAATAAACATTAATCTTTTCAAACACGTTCCAGACAGATGGATGTCCAGGGAGGAAACTGTAGCCCATTGAAGTAAATGACAGCTGGAGTAGAAATAGTTAATTTATATAAAGCAGAGTTAATTTATATACAGCAGTCCCCAATTCCCAATCTTCATTCATAAATACAACCTGTGTATAAGGGCTATTATAGTAACAATTCAGGCTGATAACAAAGGTGCTACTTCGTAATATACATCAAAACATCACTCTAGTGGCAAGAAGCTGCACTACAATCCCAGAGGTACGCAGTTCGAATCCACCAGATGCCCTGCTGGAGAAGGAGGGACAGTCTCCTGTACCAGTCGGATCTGATTGGACAGTACACACATAAAAAATAATAATTTTTAAAAAAACAAAACACACCCATTACTATTATGTTAAAGTTTCAAGTATGTGGAATTGTTTCTTTTTTCTGTGTAGGAAAATCCACTAAGAGGAGACTAACCAGCAGTTGGATGTATAAACCATACCTTTTAGGATTTTACAGATTCAGCTGCGAGACTGATTTAGAGCCAAAGCTCGTTCATAATCCTCTGAGAGACTGTTTGCCGTCCTGTGATTTCTCTTCCTAGTCATAGCTCTCTGTTCCCCAGAACCACAGAGAACTCAGCATTTCTAAAGGGCAGGTGTTGGGATGTTTGAAGGTCGAGTTCAGAGCTTTTTCCCTTGTTCTGTTGCCAGAGATTCACTTCGACAGGGAAGAGACTTGAAAACCAGCAGGACTTTAAATAAAGAGGGCAGTACCAGAGCCTGCTTCACTGGTTGAGTCTTTGGAAGTTTCTGGAACTCAGGATGCTTCTGAGATGCAGAGGTGGCTTTCTCCCGGGTGGCTCAGTGGCACGAAGTGTGCCAGCTGACAGTGGAGTCACTGCAGACGAGAACTCGGCTTCACAGACTTGAATCGCATCCCCCTGCCGTGTGTGCACTTGCAGGCTGGTGGTCTGCTCCAGGACCCCACCCACTCAGCCTGGGCTCCCTGGCCAGCCACCCGTGCCATCGGGGTCCCGGCGCCCACCACCCCACTCCCCTCGACAGCAGGACCATGCAGTCTGCTCTCGTGTTGGGTTGGTTTTGGACCAATGTCTAATCAGTGTCCATGATGAACTTGGCTGGACAGCAGCAGAGTGACTCTTCCAACATGGGATTTCATAAATACACCCTGTGTCCAGATGGTGGAACTAGGGGGCGGCTGCTCTGGCGCTGGCCATGGGCTCACAGGTCGTCCTCTCAGGAGGTCACGGCACCCCACCCCTGAGTGCTCCCAGATAGCTTGTTCTCTGCCCTCCGCGGCGGGGCTGTTGGAAGACAGTTGACCCTTTGCTATGGAGCCTGTTCAACCTGCTGAGCTGACTGGCTCACAGCGACCTTACAGGCTAGAGGAGCGCTCCCCATGGGGCTCAAGGCTGTGATCTCATAGAAGCACATTGCCTCTGTTTTTCTTCCAGAGAGTAGCTGGATTCAAACCACTGACCTTTCACTTCTCAGCCCAGCATTTACTCCACTGTGCCACCAGGGCTCCTTTTCTTACTCATAATGATCCCAGGGGGCTTCCAAGTTTGTAACTCTTTACAGGAGCAGGCGGCCAAGCGCTTAAGCACTGCGCCACCGGGGCTCCGTCATCAGGCGACAGTGCCTAGAGGCATGGTGTGCCTGGGTTAAGGTGTCAGATGCTGAGGGAATGGCCTGCTCATGGGGACAGGGGGCTGACAAGTTTCGAAGCAGCTGCCCTCTGCACCGTCTATGTCTTTGCACTAGGAGTGCAGACACTCGGGGGGGGGGGGGAGGAAAACGAGAAGGTACAGACTGGAGCGTCCAGTGCTGCCCAGCGCCTGCTGAGAGGTGGGTCCTTGGGGCCTTTGGCGGCCGCAGAGAGCACATAGTTGTTGACGTGTGTCTTAAAGAGTTCTGAAAAAGCACTGAGGAAAGAGGCCACTGCACGGTTGGAGTTGACAAAGCTCCCAGAATGTATGGCAGTCTCCCAGTGCAGGAATCAGCCCCGCGAGCCTAGGCTGCACCTTCTGGGCATCCTGGAGGCAGAAGAGGTGCCCTGGATTAGAGAAGTCTCTGTAGATGGGAGCAGCAGACAGGTCCGAGGTCGTCCCCTACCTGGTTTTGTTCATGTTTCCGAGACCCAGAAGGTCTTGAAGATTAACCAGCATCATTGATTTACTGAATACTTGCATGGATTTGTGGATGGTGCCACAGTGACCCCTTGGGCAGAGTTAGCACTAAGGAGTCAACCCCCAACGGAGACAGCCGCAGTGCGCCAGGAGCACGTGAACACTGGCGGCGGCTCCTTCATCACTGGACAGCGTCACTTGGGCAGGAGCCCTCTGAGCTGGCCATTAACGACCCGTCCTCTGCTATTAACAGCTTTTAAGCCAGAGAATTGATGGCATTTGCTTTGAATGCTCAGCAGAGGTCGCCTGCCCTCGTCCAGCCAGATGGAGGCAGCTCTTCCCACACAGCACAGACCCCCAAGTGCTGGCTCTCAGGCCTCCCTCCTCACTGAGTGCAGGCCTGGCCTCTGCCCCGTGCCCGCTTCTGTGATCAGAGGGGGTCAGGGCTGGTTGGAGCAGTAGACCCCATCGTGGCTTCCCCTGTTAAGGAAGCACCGGTGGCCCGGTCTGCGGGGAATCCCGTCCACCTCTCTCCTGGCTGGAATCCATCAGTGGCTACTCGAGAAAAAGGTGATCGATCTCCCCCCACGTGGGCTACAGCCTCAGAAACTCAGTGGACAGTCCGCTCTGATCGATGGCAGTGCTTTGACCTTATTGGTATCTGGTCACACTGACCGTCATGATTTTAGAATGGCCCCAGAGCTTTCTTAGACCGTCATCCTGCCAGGAGAGATCACCACGGGTGGTTTCAAACCACCCACCAATCATCTCCCAGCCAACTGCTTATCCTCTGTGCTGCCGGGGCTCCTCCCCTTCTTTCGACCTCTGATGCTGCTGATGTGCAGGTGGGCTCCCCGTCCCTGGGGAGCCTCTTTCTAATTTACCTACTTTTAGTTTGTGTTGTTTTTCTTACCTCACACCATATAACAGAATACATGCCAGAATGATGACAGAATTAAATGTGAGAACGAAAGGGAGAAAATAGACTATCTGCTCCAGGAATCCAGAAGGCTGCCCCCAGCATAAAAACAAAGGGATCTGTCATAAAGAAAATGACTGGTCTTGAAAGCCTAAGATCTGAGTCACGTACTTCAAAACATTCCGTGCACAGGTTATATGGCAGGGGAAGAATGGGGAGGTGTAAATGTGTATAAAATAAATAGTTCAAATAGTTTCCCCCTGGTATTCAAAGCTTCTTTCAAAATGAAAAGAACATGTGTTTTTGGAATTCTAAAAAGTTCATTTCCAAGAATCTGTTGAACTAGTTATCCAAAATATGTAAAAAAAAAAAATAAAGCATTAATTGTAGTTTATTTCTAACAGTGAATACTACCTAAATGATCAACAAGAAGATTATTAAAAGTTTATTTATTCTATCTTTGACTGTCTTTAAAATCAGATTATGAAAAGAATATTGATTAGATACATGTCTTAAGTGAAAAAGGCAGGTCAGAACAAGAAAAACAAGCAAACAAACCAACCCCAGAAAAATGAAGAGTTTGTACATCAAACGGTGGGCTTCAGTTACCGTGCGCTCATGTATTGTGGTGTTGTTTTCATTTTAACCAAAAAGTATTGTAAAAGGTCTAAGGACTGAGGAGAATGGGGGTAGCAGGTGAAGCGTCCACGCGATCCCGGCTCGGCTCGGGGGACCGGAGGGGGCCGGTGGGATCAGGTCATGCTCTGCTCACTGCCTCCGCTGAGCCTGCTGCTTGCTTCTCCCCAGGCCTGAGCACAGAAGGCATCTACCGCGTCAGCGGGAACAAGTCCGAGATGGAGAGCCTCCAGAGGCAGTTTGATCAAGGTGAGCCTGTCCCAGCAGACCCCACGGCAGGGGATGGGACATCCCGGAGGGGACCAGCGTGCCGCCCCACAGGCCTGCGAAGGCTTCTGCCACAGACCCGCTGCCAAAGGTGCTGGCCCAGGACCGTGCATATGGCTGACCTCCGACACGGGAAGCTAACTCCTGGCCCTCCTTCCTTCCCCGACGTCATCCTGCCACCTGCAGCCCACGTGAGGCTGTCTCCCTCTGAGCCTCACCACCCCTGCTTGGGACTCCACCAGTTAGATCTCTGTCCTTACAGCGCCTACAGCTCACTCCCCTGACTTCCACTATTAACTGGGGTGACACTCAGAATTCAGGGAATTCTGAGCACGGTGACCTCTTATCACAGAAAGACACATCAGGCGAGATCTGATGGCAGCCCTGCGTGAAGCTCCGTCATGCCAGGCGTGCTGTGGTCGCCAGCCCACAGTCCGTGGGCAGTGAGCGCACACATGTGCATGGTTGGCACCCCCTTGCTCCGTTACCAGTCAGATCAGTGGACGTGCACGCCAGTGTCCAGCCCCCTGTATTGGGCCTTGTCTCGGGGTCAGGCCTGCTGCTTTAGAAAGATGCAGCGCAACTTCTTGGCTTAGACTATTTTTCCAAATCCAGGCACAAAAAGCTAGTGTCCCACAGGAAAAAGGAGAGTGTAAGGATGGATCACTGCCGTGGGGAAAGGGCACACACTGGAGTTAGGCACCGATGCCCACAGTGACCCCAGGACATGGGTTAGTCTTGCTGAGGGCGCCCTGCTTTGCAGCTCGGCCTGCTTTGTGAGCAGCACCTGGTCCTCCCTGTCCACACCCACCATGCACCAGAGCAGCAGACATTCCCAGTGGCAGAGCTGGGGGAGAGGAGAACTGGGGACCCACAGTCAGGGCCAACTTGGCACAGAAGCAGCTCGGGAGGGCCCGCGGGATCGTGCCTGCACCAGCGACAAGCACACGGCCATGTGGCCGAGTGCCACTGGACCTGCCCCACCCGAGCCATGCTCAGCTGGCAGGTGACACAGCGCATCTGTGGGGAGCAGAGGGTCAGGTGAGGGCCAGGACTTCCTCCAGAGCCACCGGAGGTAGAATGAGGGGAGAGCCACACCTGGGGTGCTAGAGGATCTGTAACCCACTCACCTCCCAGCCACTGCTTCCTGGGTGCAGTCAACTGTGTTTGGAAAACACGAGAGCCAGGCTGAGGGGCAGACAGGAGTCATTTGGCTCCCTCTCCACATGGGGACAGTGATGGAGTCTGAAGTCCACACTGTGGGCCCCTTCGTGTGGCCCACCATAAAGCGAGGTGATCCTTTAAACCCATCAGCAGCAGGCAGGGGGAGCTGGATGGCCCTGAGGGGGGCAGTCCCACACGGCCTCAACAGAAGGCAGCGGGCTGGGTGGTGTCCACGGCTGCCGCCTCCCCTCTGTGGTCGCTGTACGGGAGCCGGACCAGCATCCACAGCCCAGCCCTGCTCAGTGTGGCCTGGCCTCACGTGCCCATCCACCTTCCTTTCAGACCACAACCTGGACCTGGCCGAGAAAGACTTCACCGTGAACACCGTGGCCGGCGCCATGAAGAGCTTCTTCTCCGAGCTGCCAGACCCCCTGGTGCCGTACAGCATGCAGATCGACCTGGTGGAGGCACACAGTGAGTACCCCGCGGGGTCGAGGGCATCAGAGGTAACTGTGCAGGACGAGGGGTCGTGTCCTTCCTGAGGGTCAGACACGCCTGCGCACTGGCTGGTCTCCTTGCTCTTGGTGGACCCAGCCTCCCTGCAGCCCCTCGCAGCCCCCTGCCTTCCTGCTCTTGTTACTCTTCCTACTTGCCCTTTGAAGAGGCACCTGGTGGAGAAGTGTCGAGACTGGACAGGAAAGTCCCATGAAGTCCTGACAGATGCTGCCCTTCCCGTTCCCCACTCACCCCCTTCCCGATCCCCACGAGGCATCAGCATCCACGTGGGTGGCTCTGGGGCTCAGGGGCCCCCCAGCAGTTTGCACCTCTGGTGTCCAGGGTTCCGTCTGCTTGTGTACCCCCCACCTTGTTCTGGTCCTGGACCTGACTGGGTGGAAGTCGCTGAAGGCCTCTCAGAGGCCCAGGCAGGGCCGGGCATGCGTGTTCCTCCTCCGGCTGCTTCTGGAGATGGGCGGGAGGGTTTCTCCAGGTGGACTAGGGTGGCAGCGGGGGGGACAGTGTGGCTCACCCACTGCCCAGAGAGCTGCTTCTGTTTCTGCTGGCGGGGGAGGTGTGGCCTGGTACCCAGCGTGCTGGAAGCCCCTCGTGCTTGGCTGCATTTGTCTTGACTTGGCGCCATCTAGAGGCTTCTGGAGGCCCTGCACCCACAGAACCCTATTGTTTCCGCGGGAGCTGCCGAGACAGCACACTTTTGTTTTTGGAGTAATGAGGAGATAGGGTGTCATCAGTAGGGAGCCGGCTGCCCTTCCTCTCACGCTTCAGCCCTTTCCCAGCGGAGGAGGTGCCTTCTTGCTGCTGTTACCACAGCTGCCTGCGAAGGGTGGAAGTTTTCCGCTTCCTCTTCCCATTGTGTCTTTCTCATGCTCCCAGTGGGGCTCCGTGACCTTGAACCTGGAAGGAGGGAGAATGGCAGTGCTCACAATGGCCAGAGCATCTGAGCAAGGTGGACTGTGGGCGTCAGGAGACGGCTTCCCCGAGCCGCAGACACCGCCCCTGGCCGGGAGAACTTGGTGTTGAGGGGCACAATGGAGAGAAGATTCCCAGTCTGGCTGGGTTTCCATGACAACGCCAACTTGTCCAGCTCTTCCCACTTAATACCTAAGAGCTGTTGTCTCTGTGTATTCAGAGCTTGGAAGCTGTTTCAGAGCCCATCACAACAGGCACCAAGGTCGTTACTGAACTGTTTCTGTACCTCCAGAACCTCACAGTGTTGAACACGGTGGAAGTGTGTCCACCACTTAGCTTCCTGCCAGAACATGTGTTACCCACAGCTGTGCAGCCAGCTTGAGCACTCAGCTGCAAACCAAAAGTCCACACAGGTGCCTCAGAGGAAAGGGCAGGCGATCTGCTCCCAAAGAATCGGCCTTTGAAAACCTCCGGAAGCTCAGCTCTGCCATGGGAGGCGTGGGCGCCAGGAGGCACTCAGTTTCGGGGGTTTGGAGGGTTGTTGGTTTTTTACTTGGTTGCTTGGGGCTAGGGTTTTTCTTTTAGTTCCTGGCTCATAGGAGAGGATAAGTAGAAGATTCTGGAGGAAGTGACAACAACCTTGTCCCACTTGTCACTCAGGACCTGGCCCTCTGCTGGGCACCAGTGTACATCCTTCCCATGGGTACCATGCACAAGGCGGTGCCGTGGTGGTGTGAGGGGACAGTGCCCTCATGTCGCAGCACAGACCTGCAAAGGCAGGAGGGAGCAGGCCAGAGGCCTCAGTGAGGACCCCAGGAGCCCAAGTACAGGCTTCAGCGAGGGCCCCAGGAGGCCAGACGGAGGCTGTCTTACCCCACGCCATCTCGCCCTCACCTCAGCCCTCAGCCCGTCCGGGACTCCACTTCCAGGACATTTACTGCTCCTCTTCCCTGTAGTTTGTCCTTTTTCTCATGACATCTCCCCTCCTCCAGTCCAGCCATCTGACTAAGGCATCCCCTGCCCTCTTCACTAGAGATCAGAGCTAGTTCCACCTCCATCCTGGAGCGCTGAGCCCACAGGCCTTCAACTGTGGAGGCCTCTTCAGGCTCCTCTAGGTGCTGGTTGTCAAAGGACCATTAAAAGTCCCTCAGACTCATGGCCATCGAGTTGGAACCGATTCGTAGCTGACCCCTCATTGGGCTCCCGAGGCTGCAAACTGCCTGGGAGGAGATTCTCCTGCAGAGGAGCCACCAGACCCTCAGCTTTGGGTGAGCATGAGCTCCCTGGGGACGTGCTTCCACAGCACCCTCAAAACCGCCCAGCTTAACACCTTCCTCCCACTGAGTGACGAGGCAGCGAACGCTGGCCCTGACTAGTGGCCGAGTGGCCAAGGTGGCCCCTTGTCATCCAGCCAGCTGCTCAGGGAATGGGTGTGTTCCTCACCTGAGCCAGAGCCTGATTCATGGGGACAGACGGACAGTGAGAGGCAGGGCCCCAGCGGTCCTCATCCTCATTCCTACCCCAGCTTTCTCTCTGGACCCGGGAGCTGTCGGACCGAGGAGAGCGGTATGCTCCCAGCTGGGCCACGAACCCGGGTCGCTCGCGTGGAAGGAGCCGGTCCTGCTTCAGCCGTCACTCCCCACGCCTTGAGGGTGTGCTGTCAAAGCTAATCTTCCATTTGGTTTTATTCTGTTGTTTCTTTTTTCGAAGTTCAGGAAAGTGGAGTTGCTAAGGGCCCCGCCACTGTCCTGGAGAAGGTTCCGGCGCCATGCTCCTTGGAGGCGAGGAGGGTGGAGCTTGCTCTCCGCACGTTGGGCTATTAGGAGGGGCCAGGCCTTTGGAAGAGTCATGCTGGGAAAGGCAAAGGGTCAGGGAAAGAGAAGAGTGTCGCCAAGGTGAACTGACGCAGTGACTGTCGGGTGAGGGTGACGCGGGTGGCACAGGTTCCGGTCATTGTGTTCCGAGGGTCACTGCTGGCGGTTCCATGTCACATACCTGGCAGCGTGGAACAGTGCTCCCCAGGAAGCTGCTGAGGCCCCACTCAGCGGCCTGCGGGGCTCTGCTAGGCCCCCGCCCTTGGCCCAGGGTAGTGGGGTGACAGTGCAGCCTGAGTGCCCCACCTGGTTTTGAGGTGTCTCCAAGTGAGAGCACCCCCACTGTCAGTCCATCACAGGCAGGCAGCTTGCTGGTCGCGTCACGTGTCCACAGACACACACAGCTTGGCCAGTGTCTGAGACAGGACCCTTAACCCAGGTCACCTGCGTCCATTCCCAGCCAGCCTCTCTCACACCTTCCAAGGATGGGGGCTTCCCAAAAGCCAGATGGTTTGTGGCCCAGGAGCCCCTGGGGCCAGGCACACATGTGAGGAGGACAGTGCTTCCGGGGCCACCTCAGGAGCTCGTGCCCTGAGTGGTGGAGACATTCCACTGATGGTGCTGGACTTCCCGTCGGGGGGGGGGGGGGGCACGCCCTCCATCCTCTGTCCATCTGCCTGCCCTTGCCAGGTGCTGCTGTCCGTTGGGTCCCGTAGAGCACTGCACTCAGGGCACCGTGCTCGGGGCTGGGCAGCTCACCTTCAGCTGGGCCGTAGTGTGTGGTAGGACTGATGGGTGTCTGTGGTCCATGGGGCCCTGGAGCAGCCCTGAGGTCCGAGTCGAGGCTGCGGGAGTGTGCTCCTGCCACCCGCCCAGGCGGCTCCACGCTGCATTCGCCTCCGTCCAGGGCTTGCTGTCCCGCCGAGCTCTGCCGCCCGTCCACCAGGGCCTGGTCGCTGGCTCTGTGGCTTGTTAGCACGTGACCCCAGAGTGCAACACTCAGTGGAACTGCCAGCTTGTCCCGGCGCTGGGCTCCATAGCTGGCTCCCACCACCACTGGCCCATTAGGATTCCACATGGGTCTGCAACGGGGAGGGGTCACAGGCTTTGAGGGGCTGCACACAACCCCCCACTGTTCCCATCAGCCTCTCCAGCAGCATCCCTGAGCTCGAGAAGGACAGAGCCCCGGCCTTGTGACAACTCCCCCCAGATAGTCCCTTGGCAGCGTGGGTGGTGGGTGGCCGCACCCACCCGCCTGGTCAGGAAGCTGGCTTTCTGCACAGGGATCCTGTCTCCAGGGGCAACAGGATGAGTGAAGAATGTTCTTTATTGTGCCGTTCCTTGGACCCCTCCGTCTGGGGGTTGGGGGTGGGGAGTGACCGGAAGCCCCCTGTGCACAGTGCTCCCCTTCAGCCAGGACCTCACTGCCACCAGGTGTGTGGCCTGTGCAGTCGCTCCGGGACAGAGCGGAGCAGCCTGGCAGGAAGTGCGCCCGGCCCTCCGAGGGAGACGCTGCCCAGAGCCACACGATGCCCACCTCACCCAGGAGTCTGCTTTTTGTCTCCTCAGAAATCAATGACCGGGAGCAGAAGTTACACGCCCTCAAGGAGGTGCTCAAGAAATTCCCGAAGGAAAACCACGAAGTCTTCAAATACGTCATCTCTCACCTGAACAAGTACGTGGCCAGCCTTCTGGGTGGGGTGCCAAGCAGCCCGGTGGGACCCTTACCACAGGCTGCACACGTGGCCTCAGCGGGTGCCCAGCACGAGGGGTGGCTGGCATGAGGGGCCTGGGACCCTCTTCCTGCCCCGAGACTAACAGAGGAGCCCAAGAGCTCAGCGTCAGCTTTCAGCCGCCTGTGCCCCAGCAGGGTGTGGTGGCCCCCTTGTGTGGACGGGCGTGCCGTGGGGACACGGGGGGCAGGGGACCTTGCCCAGGTGGACATGAGCCTCGTAGGGAGGCACCTGCCTGTCCACCTGCTCCCTCCTGGGATGCTGCCCAGCCAGAGTGCCCTGTCCCCTGCAGGTGGGGTGGGCCCCTGGGCACCGCTGCGAGGGCTCAGGCTCTGTGCCGGGCAGGCGACCGTGAGCACTCAGCTGACCGGGCGTCCCGTGTCCCCACAGAGTCAGCCACAACAACAAGGTGAATCTCATGACCAGCGAGAACCTCTCCATCTGCTTCTGGCCCACCCTGATGCGGCCCGACTTTAGCACCATGGACGCCCTCACGGCCACGCGCACCTACCAGACAATCATCGAACTCTTCATCCAGCAGTGCCCCTTCTTCTTCTACAATCGGCCCATCAGCGAGCCCCCCGGCGCCACACCCAGCTCCCCCTCCACCATGGGGGCCACTGTCCCCTTCCTCACCTCCACCCCCATCACTGGTCAGCCGTCTCCCCCCCAGTCGCCCCCACCCACCCCTCAGTCCCCGCTGCAGCCCCTGCTGCCCTCCCAGCTGCAGGCCGAGCACACGCTGTGAGCCCCGCTGGCCACCTGAGCACGCTCTTGTTGCAGAGGCCCCTCTGCCAACAGACCACAGCCGTGCAAGGCCAGAGTCTGAACAGGTAGGCCAGGGGGCCAGGGCTGCATGCAGACCACCCAGGGCTGGCTGGAGGCTGCTGCCACGGGGACCTGCCCTTTGACCTGAGACCCTTCGAGGACTGAACGAGTGAGGCAGCTTATGGGGAACCCACCCACTCCTCGTCAATGGCTTGTACAGAACCAGGGTGCCCGGACATGTCCCCCACTTTATCTCCTCTATGCGAGTCTGGGGACCCTGCCCCGGGTACAGTGCCGCTGCCGTGTGCCCGGCAGAAGGGAACAGGGGCAGGTCCGACCCCGGACCCCAGGGCGCCGCCCCGCCCTCCCCCATCCTGGACTTCAGATTGAGCCCTTCATGGCAGAGGATCACTGGAAGCAAAGTGGAAAGCCCCTCCCAACATTGGAAAGAAACTAGGAAACCGACTACAGGGCCCCTCAAGTCTCAGCTCCCCCCGCCAGGAGCAGACAGGTGGCAGGCCTCATCTCTACGACAGCAAGGCCAGAGGCCAGCAGCTGCCCGAGGGCCCATGGGAGCCACCTGCCTGCCCCCAGGACACTGGAGGTGATGATGAGCTGAGGAGCCAGGACCTGGCTGCCTTGAACACACTACATTGCCGTGGAAACACTACTCATGCATGCGTGTGTGTGCATGTGTGCGCGAATGGGTCGAGGCCTGGGAGGCAGTGGGGCCCTTTTCCTGGCAGTGGACGACCCCCCAGGTGCAGGCAGAGGTGTCTGTGGGGAGGGAAACCCCCTCACTCCCCAGTGGTGGTCATTGGTGGTCCCGGCCAGCAGGAAGTCAGGGAGCCCGATCTGCTGTCATGCTCATCACCGCCCCCCTGTGGCCTTGTCCAGACCCTCTTGGGAAGTGACTGTCTTAGAGCTGCCCCTCTTGGAACCTTCCACGGCCAGTCTCCACCCTCGGGGCAGGCGGCAGCCTCGCCTCCTGGGCCTCTGGACAAGAAGGAAGGTGGGGCACGGGTCCCACATGCACTGCCCTCCTGGGTTCTTTGCACTTTAAGAAGCAGGATCTGTGGTCATGTCCCAGGATGCCCTCACTACAGCCGGAGCCTGAGCCAGTGAGTAGAGCTCCCCACCCCCACAAATCTCCCTTTGTTCTCGGGGAAGTGATCCTGTGCCCCCCTCAGCTTGTGTCTGGTTTGTGTGGCCAACAAGGTGCTTGGATGAAATGAAATTACCCTCGATCTAAACAAAAATCCCACCCAGAGAACACAGCCTGGCAGCCTGTGGTGTGCATGTGGGTGTGTGGGGTGCTGGCAGAAGGTGGGTGCATGATGCTCCGATGAGCCGTCAGATTTCCTGAGCCCTCTGCCCAGCGAGGTCACAAGTCCTGCGCTGAGTCATCTCTCTCAACGGAGACACGGCGACCCCGTGCTGGCCCCCAGCCCGTGTCTCCCACACTATCCCCAGTTCCAGGTTTTCCACCTCTGACCCCTGCGGAGGGCAGCACTAGAGCCAGAAATGAGCCCTGTGATTGTCAATGCGAAACTGGGCTCTGGGGCTGCGGCATCTGGGGGCCCCCGACCTGAAGAGCCCAGCAGAAACCATGGATGTGTGTGTAGGTGTGAATTCAGGCAGGATGCACAGAAATCAGGCTTAAGGGTGGCTTCCAGACACCAGCACCCCACCAGCCATTCTGGGAGGAGCCAGACTGCACCCCCTCCCCCTCCTCCTCAGCCCGTGTCTGGCGGCGTTGGTAGGACAGGGGGTGACTAATCCTCAGAAAGCCAAGGTGGACAGGAAGTGTCACACATCTCTGTTCCCACTGATGTCACCAGCTATGGGCTTCTGATCAGTCGGCCTAGGACCAGGCAGGCACTCAGATGGGTCCCCAGTAGGAGAGCCTGGGGTTTTGAGGGATGTCTGCACCCTTGGGAGACTGGCCAGGCCATCGAGGAGACACCACCTCTGGTGAGAGCACGGCTCCTTGATTCTAAGTTCTTTCTGAGCCTGTATCGTGGGGTCACACCAAGAGGGGTGAGGCCTGAGCTCGCTCAGACCCACTCTCTCTCTGCTTCAGACTGGAGACACTACTGGGAAGGAGAGGGTGTTCCTTCGGGGAGTGCTTGTCCCAGAGTGTGAACAGAGGTTCACACCTGAGCAGGCACCACATGCCAGGATGGGGCCTGAGACCACCATCCCCCAGTGTCACAGCCCCCAGACCAGAGCACAGCTGTGCAGTTGCCTCTCCCGGGCAGAAGGCCATGCTGCTTTGGGATGTTCGCTGGGGAAGGCAGTGGTCACAGAAGCATCACACACCCCCTGCCTCTGTGTCACCGCTCAGAGCCCCCCCCCCGCCCCCGGCAGCCAGGGAAGTTCCAGGGGTCAGGGCCAGGCCCAGATGTCACCACAGTAGGTTCAGGGTCCCCCCCCATGGCTACGGATCAGGAGCATCACCCCTATTGCTTGGCAGGTACAAGCTCCTAGTGGGAGGGGACAGGCTGAGGCATGTGTGTGTGCGTGTGCCAGAGACCAGGCGTGCTGACCAGGAGACCAGAGGAGGGAAGGCTGGCTGCGGCCCGTCCCTGTCCTGGCTGGGCCCCCAGCGGCCTCTGCCCAACAGCAATGACGTTACACTTTCCATGTAGTCAAGACAGGGCCTAAGTTATTGTTTTATTATAAAAGAATCATGTTCCCTTGTGTACATTAAACAAAAAAAAGGCAATGTCGGAATTATATGGGAATAAAACTTGTTTGAAAATTTGGAATAGTGCTGCTGCCAGCTTATTTTTCTGGTACTTGTATTTTCACATGTCTAAATGAACTTTATATATGTTGAATTAACTATTTTGAGTTTCCTTAAAGGGGAAAGCATATCAATGGTATTAAAAAAAAATGTGTTCGTAGTCTGGCCGTGTGCCCCACAATTCTGTTTTCTCAGCAAAAGTGGAAACGTGTTTGTAAAGGGAGTATAAGAGTTCCTTCTCTGTACGTTAGGCCTTCACATCTCTAGTTGGTGTTAGGAATGTCAGCTTACTTTCCAGCATTTTCTTTGGTTACGTTGTGGGTTTGTCGAGGCCCCAAACCCAATTTAGTGCATGGGCGGCCGGGGACAAGGCTGTGGCATCTCGGCTGAGGTGGGTTTTTTTTTTTTTTGCGTTTGGTTTTGTTTTTTAAAATGTATTTGCTACAAAGTATTGTACTTGTCTCAATGGGAATGGTGTAAAAAAAAAGAAAAAAACAAACCTGAAAAGGCCTTATGTGATATGTACCACAGTCAATAAATCAATCTTGTAAAAAACCAAACCTGCGGACTGAAGGCGCCCCAGCACCCCAGGCCTAAAGGAGCCCATCACTGCCCCTGGGGCTATAAGAATGAGGAGAGGGATGGTGGGGTACACCCTGCGGCAGGGGCTTAATTCTCCACCCCCCCCCCAGGTGCTCAGGACAAAGGGTCAAAGGTCAGGTTTGCTCTGGGGCCAAGCTCAGGCCTGGAGGAGGACTGCATTGTCCTCCCACCGTGGGGGGCACCCTGACCTGCCTGAGGACCCCACTGTTTCCTCTTTACAGGGTCAGGCAGCCTTACCTGCTGTTATACATCAGGTTGCTATGAGCCAGAGTCAATTTAGGAGGTCCTCTTGGTCCTGATTCTTCACTCACATGCCACCAGCTGTTTTACCCCTTCCAATCCAACATTAAGCCCCTGGTTTATTCTGGAAGGCAGGTCTGGGTTTGCACAGTCAGTGGCTGGAATGATTCAGCATACAAACTACTTCTAACCCTCCTGATGCCTGTGACAGGCATGGCTAGTTGATCACAGAACCACCTCCAGGCAGCCATGACTAGTCAAGCTGATCTGTTTGCCCAGCTCAGCTTGGCAGCCGTGCCCTCAAACACAGGTGCCTCCGGTCAGCCAGGCATTTGGATGTTAAATGACTTGGGGACAACCGCCCCACACACACCCCCATCAGACTCTCCCAGATCACAAAGTTTTTCTGAATACAGTTGATTGCTTTCCGCTTCAGATCTTGGCTTGTGTGGTTTCCTGTGTACAGAATTCCTTCTCCCCAGCCTCCGCTCTGCCCACTCAATCCCAGCCTAGTCCTGAAAAAGCCTGTTACCCTTGAAGTCTCTCCCTGGTTCCAGGGACACAGTGTGGACAAAGACCCCTGCTCTCAGGGAGCTGACACCCCAGTAAACAAGCAAATGCACAAACGTGCCCTGGTGGCCCAATGTTGGAATTGTTTCCTCCCACACTGGAGACCCAGGTTCGAGGCCAGCCAGTGCACCTTCTGTGCAGCCGCCACTACCACCACCACTCTTGTCAGCAGAAGCATGTGTGTTGCTCTGATGCTAACAGGTTCCAGCTGCAAAGGCCTGGCAGTCTACCAGGAACCAACCAGTGAAAAGTCCACAGGTTTCAATGATCAGGCCCCAGCCCATCGTGGGGACAGGGCAGTGTCTCATCCCTCTGTGCTTGATGAATTCACTAAGCTGCTGGCAGACTCAACAGCAGGGGGGTGGGTTAAGGGTTTAAGAAGAATGTAAGTTCCTGGGTGAGCTCAGGCGGCCTAGAGGGTATGAAATTATATTGTCAACCCAAAGACAAGCAGTTCGAATCCAACCAGCTACTCTGGATGAAAATAATGGGCAGTTGACAGCCTCTAGAAACCCACTGGATGGCCAGCTGTGAGCTCGGGTTTCCAGGTGGGATAGATTCACAGTGGTGTTTTGAGTCTCCTGACTTGCTTTCATTTCCCACGGCTTCCGTTTGAACTTGCACGTGGCAGTGGATGATTTGTTCCACAGCCAGCACCCGGCCTGCTGTTGCCCGTTCATAATGCACTTCTATGATTGTTTCCATAGATGTAGTTAGTTCAGCGTTGTTGTTCCAGGGTCGCTGTGAGTCAGTCACACACGGCGGCACACGACAACAGCACCAACATGAGGTTTCCAAGACCTTCATCCGGCCAGGCTCAGAT